GACTTCCCACATGAGCACCATGACTGATTGGATCAGAAGGGGTCCTGTGACCCAGAGGCAGCCTAGTTGGGTCTGAACTGTGGCTCTTCCCCTGACCTCCAAGTTCCCCAGCTCTAGGGCTCTGCCCCACAGTTGTACATGATGATCAAATGGATGCTCTCCTTTCTAGAGTAGGGGTGGAAGATTCCACTGAGGCTAGGAAGTGCATTCCCTCAGGGAAAACCTTGTGGGGGACTTGTCAAGGGAGTGGGCTGAAGTAACAAGTCAGCAAAAGTCAAGGAAGTGAAAGCTATAGAATGGAGATGGGAGGAACAGAAGTGGTCAAAGCAAAGACCAACTGGGTCCTCCCTAAGCTAAGAGGGCAACAAGACTCCTCCATACTAGGGTTGGGTGAAGCCCAGGGCTTCTCCAATGTCATGCTGCAGTCCTCAGGGCCAGTCCCATGAGATTTCTGGTTTTTGTACAGCCACGTGTCCTCCCCCAATCTCTCCGCTCTCCCTCATTAATTATGATTGAGCGAGCCCAACTAACCATAGGTATTGACTATTTCACCTCATTATTCTAATATTTGCAGTCTGGGATCAAAATGAGGAGAAGGAAGAATATAGGCAGGAGCTGGAGAGCGAGAGGTGGACGTACTGGTAAGGACTTCACACAAGTGAAGAGAAGGTCAGCTGTGGTATTTGGGCTGTGCTCTGCATGGCTCTTTGGGCTACTTCTGTGACTTTGGGCTGCGACTCTAGCTTACTTGACTGTTGTCTGTCCTCCTTACTATCTGGGGGAAGGACAGCAGCTGAAAGAACAGATTTCAAACCTGTGGTGGCTGAAGGTCATAGAGAGTTGATATTGTTTCATCAGTAGTTTGAGCACAAAAGTCAGAGTCAGACAGGAGCCAAAAAATTTAAAGGACTTGCTCAGTGTCTCAAATAAGGTTTCTAACAAGTAGAAATCCCATCTTTGTCCTTCACCACACTGAATCCCTGCCAACATGTGAAACAGAACTACACCCTGGGCTGGGCACAGTGGCTCACGTCTGCAATCCCAGCACTCTGGGAAGCCGAGGCAGGGGGATCACTTGAGCTCACAAGTTTTAGACCAGCCTGAGCTAGAGCGAGACCTTATCTCTTTTAAAAATAGAAAATCTAGCCCGCTGCTATGGCAGATGCCTGTAGTCCCAGCTACTTGGGAGGCTGAGGCAAGAGATTTGCTTTGAGCCTAGGAATTTGAGGTTGCTGTGAGCTATGACACCATGGCACTCTACTCAGGGTGAAAAAAGAAAAAAATAAAATGTTGGGAATTGAAAAATTAGCTGTTATTTGATGTAGCTTCTCACTCAATATGACAGACTTCCTTTGGCACCTGATACCTGACCGGTGAATCTTCCTTAGGTAAGCCTAATTCTGCTGCCAAACTGGTCATCAGTTGGTTTTTATTCTCTCAAAGAGTATGTCAGCTTATCTGCAACTGTTTTTCAAGTACTGTTAAACTTGTATTTTAGGCCCAGCTCTTTATTTTAGACCTTGGAAGGTCATTTTATCCTGCTGACTCTTAGTGGCTTTGTCTGCAAAAGGGAAAGTTCTACTTTGCTCATTCCATGGGGTGTCAGGAAAGGGGGAAAAGGCAGTAACCATTTATTGAATATTTATTACTGTTCAGGTATTATGATAAGAACTTTAGATATACTAAGTTATTAATATTTCCACCCCAGGGAGGCTGACAATATTATGCCCATTTTACTGAGGAGAAAGCTGAGGCTAAGAAATTAATATCTTGTCCAAGGGTCACATAGATATTAACAGAACTAGGATTTGAACCCAGGTCTGTCTGGCAGTTGAGCTTAGCCATTTCACTATTTGGTCTGCTCTTAGGTGGTACTGAAGAAAGCACTAAGTTTCAATTATTCAAAGATTTCAGATGCTTTTGTTTAGCCTTTTTTCCAGGAGAAATGTTCTATAACTTTTTTTTTTTTTACATTCTGTGATGGGATATCATTTCCCTCCCCCATTCCATTCCATTCCCTCTTCTTCTGGAGTACCGTGTCTCTCTGTCCTTCCTAAAGTGTGGTCAGTCGAGCAGAAGGTCGTGTCTGCAAAGACTGTGGACAGTCCCTGGAAAGCGTGGACCTGTATTCCACAGGCTTCCCCAGCTTGTCACCTGTATTTTCTGCCTGTTTCTGGATCCACTTAAGCTGAAGTTTTATTATCCTACCCAGTAGACTTTAGGCACTTGTAAGATAAACGAGTCAGTGTAGAATCCAAGTCTGGAATCTTTAGAAGTATTTATAAGGAGGACACTGAGATGAGAATGTGGTCACATCCCTCCTGACCACTTCATGTGCAAACCTACCCAACTGTGTTCGAGAGCCTGTGTCCTGAGAGAGAAAATGGTCCATGTTTGGTGGCCTGGAGGGAGATGATCTCTTTGATTTGCGGAGTTGACTGTGAAATAAAATACCCCAAATGCTGAAGATCATAAGTGAAACTGGTGTGGTCCCAGTGAGCCCCATCGATTTGTCTAGGAAGTAGTCCTCATGCAGGCTAATGAACCACTGAGCTAAATGTAATGATTAATCAAAGAAGCAGGACATTTATTTTTTCAGACGTTAGAGCTTTTCTTATTCTAAATGAATAGGGTCTTACTAATTTAATTTCCTTTTAATATCTAATTTTTCGGCTCGGCACCTGTGGCTCAAGTGGCTAAGGCGCCAGCCAGGTACACCCAAGGTGGCGGGTTCAAATCCAGCCCGGGCCGCCAAACAACAATGACTGCTGCAACCCAAAAATAGCCGAGCATTGTGGCAGGCACCTGTGGTCCCTGCTACTTGGGAGGCTGAGGCAGGAGACTCGCTTGATCCCAGGAGTTGGAGGTTGCTGTGAGCTGTGATGCTACGGCATTCTACCCAGGGGGACAGCTTGAAGCTCCTGTCTCCAAAAAAAAAAATCTAATTTTTCTATTTTAATTAATTAATTAATTAAGTCTTTGAGAGAGAGTCTCACTCTGTCACCCTGGGTAGAGTGCTGTGATGTCATGGCTTACAACAACCTCAAACTCTTGGGCTCAAGCAATCCTCCTGCCTCAACCTCCACGTAGCTGGGACTATGTCTGGTTGTCACCACAATGCTTGGCTAGTTTTTCTATTTTTAGTACAGATGGGGTCTTGCTCTTTCTCGGGCTGCAATAAAGCCTGTGGATTTATAAAGAAATAAATTAGAAGGCCGAGTACAGTGGCTCATGCCTATAATCCCAGCACTCCAGGAGGCTGAGGCAGGTGGATTGCTTGAGCTCAGGACTTGGAGACCAGCCTGAGCAAGAGGGAGACCCTGTCTCTGAAAACAGCTGGGTGTTGTGGCAGGTGCCTATAGTCCCAGCTACTCAGGAGGCTGAGGCAAAAGGATGCCACAGCATTCTACTGAGGGTGGCAAAGTGAAACTCTGTCTCCAAAAAAAAAAAAAAAAAAAAAAAGGAAAAGAAAAGAAAAGAGAAATTGGAGTGGATTTCTCTGTGTATGTGTGCTTAATTACATTATTGATTTGTGTTTTCTTGTGCAGGACAAAAAGGAGTGGGCTGCCTGGACTTGTTCTGACCTTTGGGTACTTACAAGCAAGTATATTGAGAGGAAAGACTGAGATTCATTCCTCTACAGCAGTGATTTTTCAACCAGTGTGTGCATCCCACTGGTGTGCCATGAGAAGATCTTAAGTGCGCCTTGAAAAATTTTAAGGATCATTAATTAAATTATTTTTGAAAGAAGTTTAAAGTGCAGTAAGTATATTCTTTTTTTTTTTTTTTAACTCGTTTTTGGTCAGCCTCAAGCTGTCCCCCTGGGTAGTGTGCCGTGGCATTACAGCTCACAGCAACCTCCAATCCTGGGCTCAAGCGAGTCTCCTGCCTCCGCCTCCCAAGTAGCTGGGACCACAGGCGCCCGCCACAATGCTCGGCTATTTTTGGTTGCAGCCGTCATTGTTGTTTCGCGGGTCCGGGCTGGATTCGAACCCGCCACCTTTGGTGTACGTGGCTGGCACCTTAGCCAGTTGAGCCACAGGCGCCGAGCCTGGTCAACATAATTTAAGTGTGCTGCAGGAATTTAACTGTTGGTTCAAGTGTGCCATGAGATAAAAAAGGTTCAAAAACACTTTTCTAGAGGCAACTTTTGCACCTGCTGCCTGGGCTAAGAGGAGTGGGATTAAGAAGAGGGAGCTTTTGTTTTAGCTGAAGATAAGCCAGATATGGACTGCACAGTGAATTCTGCTGGAGGCCTGTCAACTGGATTGAGGCTGAAGCATGTGGTTAAGTTTCATGTGTGGGTAGGAAACTTAGCGCCAGGTGCCCTGGGGGGTGGTGCTCTGTAAACATGGATTGATTTTAGCAATAATGCTGTTTGATTTTGCAATCCATGCAGGAGGAGCAGGAATCATCTTCACCAAAGTTGGTAGGGCTTGGCACAGGTGTCCAGAAAAATAATTTTATTTCTTATGTTTTGGGACATGGGAGCTGCAGGGGACAGTCTATTTCTTTGTATCCTGGAAATAGTGTGTCCTCTTGTTTTAGCTTTGACTTGGTCATGAAATACGTTTGCTTTAAGGCAGGAATTTATAGCAAACTCATATCTATAATAAATATGTTAACATTGACTTGTTATTCATACATTTCTTTCTAATAGTGTAGGTTTTTAATTCTCACATTACAAAAGAAGTTTGGGACTCGTGTAGATATAGAATCCAGTCTCTCACTGGGGACAGTAAACTTCACTAATTCTATGACAACATGGCTTATCAACTGTGTTAAAATACCACAAGAGTTGGTAAAAATGTTTTGATTTGTTCTTGTGAAAGGTTTTTTCTGAAAAGATAAGTCCAATGTGCCTGAAGTATTAAAGTGCTAATACTTACACAGAAAATGTACTGTATTCTAAAATTTAAAAACATTTCAGAAGTTATATATGTATATCTATCTGTGGGCTCAATAAATAGACTTGAAAACGTTTTGTTTTATAGCCACACATTTTATTACAAATTTATTTTGTACCCAATAGAAAAGCAAATTTACAAGAACTATATATTTACATATACACAGTTAGTGACATCAAAGAGAATGGGCAGAGAAATACAACAGAGATGGAAGAACACGCCACTGTACATGGTTCATTGTCATGGTCGTTAATGTTACTGAATCTTAACTATAGTAATAAATACAGTTCTATATTTACACATCTTATAAAACATCTGATGCATGTATCTGATCAAAATAAACATGCTTATATAAAAATATATCTAACTAACACCCATTTGGCTTGGATATGTTGAAGCTCATGTAGGATAAAGAAAGTGAAGAATTAACATTTGACTTTTAATCTTTAATAATTTGATTCTTAAAATACCAAAAACATATATTAATATGGAATAAGCAGAGAAGTAATGTTCCCAACATGAAGAGGGTTGATCCAGAGAGAACACAGCTAAGACCAAGCTAAATAAACAGGATAATATGTTACTGAGCCTCTGTCCAATCCAAATAGTTTCAGAGGTTGGGTTTACTAGAGCTACTAGAGACACAAGTGTGGGGGTTATATCAGTGAAATTAATTTATGCTGTGCCTGCATTTGATTGTTTTCTTAAGATGCACCTTGGTTTGGATCAACTGATAAAACCTCTTGCAAAGTAATGTGCACTCACTCAGGAAAAAAATAAAAGTCTCAGCTTGTTCACTATCTTTTTAAGTATGTCCATTGCCAGCAACAGACTTTCCTTCTGAGCTTTGGCCACCAAGGAGTGAAAAATGAACTAGACAAGAAGAACTTCTGAATGTGATTGCCCTCATAGCAATTTAAGAATTTCGGTCAATTTTCCTTCCAAAATATTTGTGAACCATGTAATTCCATAGAGGGTAGAATGATTTAGTGCTCATACATAAAACCTGGTGTCTCTAAAAATGACCTGGATGTGAGTGAGTCAATAATGGCTCACATTATCCATCCAAGTGGTTGGTGACCTGGAAGGGTCCTTTCTCAGGAAAGGAAAAAGAGGATTAGAGCATGGTCACAACCCTCACTTGGTAAGGGAGGCCATCTAAAGCCCTTATGCTGCCAACTATCTTCTAAGGAAACCACCTTAAAAAATAAACTCATTCTGGAAGCAAGTGGGGTCTTATCCCATCCCCAAATTATTGGTGAATTTAAAAAGAATGAAAGTAAAATCATGGAGAATCATTTTTGAAGAACGTTTCAATCTGCTTTTTGGATCTGCGCTCACCTAAATAGTGTGACTGATCTATCCCTCAGCTAAACAAATTTATACAAGCAGCATTTAGACATGTTTTACTCTCAAGTATCAATAGGTTTTCCGCTTTTTTACATTAACTGAGAGGTCTTTTTCTGTTTTGGTTTTTAAAACTAAGTTTCAAGCTGTTTCTTCGTACCTACTTCTCTGACGAGCTCCGTGTCACATTTTCAGATCTTCACTTTCTGAAAACTTTTTCTCTCACACATTAGTGACATGGGACAAATGCCACAGATGAAAGATGGCAGCTTTCAGTCACTGGATAAGCAGGCAGGGACGTGGCATTAGAAGGCAGGTCATAGGCTATGCTGGCGCTGGTAAAGGTCACCAAGGCTTGGGTGGAGTCGCAGGACTGTTTTTCCACATCGTCAGAGTTAATGGACATCAGACTGGGGTGTTTGGATCTCGTCCAGAGGTGCGTTTGCTTTCCCAGGCTCCCCAGATCCTCCTTAAAGTGGGGATTGAACAGGATGTACAGAAGGGGATTGAGACATGCAGGAAGTGGGACAATCACCAGAAGGATGAATTTAATTACTTCGGGACTGATAAACGTGAGGTTCAGTAAAGAGGAGAAGGACAGGAAAGCCACAGGGCAGTAGAGGGTACAGTTGGTGAAGAGCAACAGGGCGACGTGCTTCACCATAGGACAGTCCCAGACGTTCTCCAGATCCCCCTTTTCCAGACTGCAGTAGAGCCTGGTGTAGGCGACGGTCATCACGAGGAAGCACAGGGAGTTGAGCAGGACAAGGGCGACCATGTAGCCGGTGGTGCTGGGCTCGCCAAAGGGCAGGGGCAGGCAGAGCGGGGAGGCCCCGTACTCGCTGCCGCCCAGCAGGGGCGCTGTGGCCGTGGCCAGGGCCAGCAGGGCGCACAGCAGAATGGCTGTTTTCAGGCTGGAAAAAGGAGTTTTCGTTTCAAATTTTGCAGCACATTTCACAGAGAAGCCACGCTCCAGGGCCGCCAGAGTAAGCAGAAAAACAGATGACTCTGAAGCAAAAATGGACAAAAACCCAATGACTCGGCAGCCAACCCCATTCTCCCACCGCGCCCCGTGTCGCGCGAAGCTGCCGAAGGTGACGGCGTCCACGGCCGCCAGCGCCGCGCTGGAGGCGCCCGCGAGCAGGTTGGCCGCGGCGATCGTGCCGATCAGCAGCTTCACGGAGGAGACGCACAGAGGGGCTCTGAACACCGTGTGCAACACCAGCGCATTGCAGGCGAGCGCCAGCACTGCGATGGTCCAAACTCCGATTCTGATGAGCCAGCTTCCGAACAAGTGTTCACAGGGCTTGAAGGGGCCTTGAGACCAAGGAAGAAAAAGATGGAGCATCAAATCAGAGTTCGCAACTCCTGTCAGATTACCCTTTTGTTTCTCTAAGGAGGACGCCGAGAGAGAGCGAGCCCAGGACGGCCATGGCGGCACACAGCGCCCACGTGGCGTCCTCCACTGTCTCAAACACCGTCCTTCCCACCTGGACCTTCTGTAGCACCCGCTGGGTGAACACGCCAGGGGCTCCTGTTTCCGGGGTATACACAGAGAAATGGGGATGAGGAGTTGCAATCGCTTGATTAAGGACCCCAAAATACAGCTGTTGGGGGGCAGGTAAAAAGCTAGATCTCTGGGACTTTTCATTACATTTTTCACAGTGCTTCAATAAGGTGCTGGGGGCAGAGAAGGAGAATCCTAGGGAAATCGTCCATAACATTAGAAAAGGAAGTATGGGTGGTATGAACATGCATTTCATGAAAATCTCATCTAGTTTTAGATGAGATGAGAGCTTTAGATGTCATTTGACATTAGGGGGCAAAGAACAATTGAATTGTTGAAAATAAAATATCAACCCTTCTTTTTTCAACTGGCTCCTCCTGTTTCTCAGAATGGAACGAACTCTTAAGTGGATTCAACATTGGGTTTTTTCTTTCTCTTTAAAAACTTATCTATTATTTGCTTTCATCAAATGGTTATTTATAGGGTTATTTATAATAGTCACCCTCAAAAAATCAGTTATATAAAGCAAGACTATAACATATTATTTCACACTCAGTTGCTAATATCATTAAAAATAATGACATATGCTTCTAACAACATTGCTTGATTTTTTTTTTTTTTTTGAGGCAGGCTCTGTTTCCTCAGACTAGAGTGCTGTGCTGGTATAGCTCACAGCAACCTCAAACTCTTGGGCTTGAGCAATCCTCTTGTCTCAGCCTCTTGAGTAGCTGGGACTACAGGTGCCTCCCACAACACCCAACTAGATTTTATATTTTTAGTAGACACAGGGTCTCGCTCTTGCTCAGGCTGGTCTCGAACTCCTAAGCTCAGGCAATCCACCCACCTCAGGCTCCCAGAATGCTCAGCATTGCTTGATCCTTTAGTTTCCATTAAGTTGTTTCAATGTCCCTCTCCCCTGATCTTGTCTGTAAATAGAGAACTCTAGGGAATAATGAACATTTGTAGTTTACAGGTCCCTCTGGGAAGGGATGGGCCACAAAGATGGCACAGAGTAGCTTTTCAAGTCTAGCCGCCCTGGTCAGCTGGGACTGTGGCTGAGCCAGCTCTGCTGCTCCTCACCTGGGGAAGGCGAGCACTGAACAGAGTGAAGGGCTTTCAGGTCTTCCTCAAAGTCAAGCAGGAAATCTTCAAGGTCCCGCTCATCTGCAGGAATGAGAGTCCTTGAATAATCAGTTCTGTCTCTCATTTCTTATTTTTAATATTTACTTATATTTTTATTTATTTTTATTTTTTTTGAGACAAAGTCTCACTCTGTTGCCCTGGGTAGAGTGCTGTGGCATCATGGCTCATAGTAACCTCAAACTCCTGGGCTCAAGCAGTCCTCCTGCCTCAGCCTCCTGAGTAGCTGGGACTACAGATGCCTGCCACAATGTCTGGCTTGTTTTGCTTTTTTTAGTAGAGATGGGGTCTTGCTATTGCTTAGGTTGGCTTTGAACTCCTGAGCTAAGGCAGTCCACCTGCCTCAATCTCCCTGAGTGCTGGGATTACAGCTGTGAACACCTCACCCAGCCTCTGTCTCTTTTCAAGGTACCCAATCCCAGGAAGAAGTGTCCTGGGTTGTTCTTGAGACACAAACCCTCACAAAGGGAGCTGAGCAAGACACCCTGCTTTTCCTGGAGCTCCAGTTTTCTTGCATGTGGAGGACAAAGCTGCCTTTGATGTTCTACCCGGGCTGCTGTGCCGCACTGTTCCCCATAAGGGGAGGTGAGGGAATGGGACCCCAGACTCCAGATCACAACATCTAAACTATCTCATTCTGTTCTTGTTCCGTAGAGCTTGTGATGATTCCAAATTGCTGACATAAGTTAGAGAAAGGCTGTGGGCCTCTCTCGTCAGACCTGGAGCCACGTTATCTAGCCTTTTCACACTGGGATGACTATAGCACATGGTTCTAGGTTGTGCTCTCTGAACACAAGGGAGAATCAGATATAGCGAGTTTTCAGTCTTGCAGAATTGGGGAATTCTGTATAACAAAGAACAAATCAAGAAACTGCTTGGTGTTTGGGTTAGCTGTCCAAGGAATAGGACAATAAAGTTTCATGATCTATACTTTCCCCACACTGCAGATTTAACTGGTTTCATGTGGTGCTTGGGAATCAACATTTTTCCAAAGCTACTATTGTGGCCCAGGGTTGAGAGTCACTGCCCTTGAAGGCAGAGCCCATGAAGGACCTTCTTTCTCTTGCTCTTTGTGTATTTGCAGGGCCTGGAACGGTGCCCGGCACGTAGTTGGGTCTCTAATTGTTCATTTTTATTTCCTTGAGTGAATAACTGTAGTAAAAATTAGAGTGAGCGAGCCAGGAAAGGCAACAACTAAAGCTGGAATAAGAGTAAGAAACATGCTGTGGCCTCAAACAGAAAGAAAGCCAGCGGCCAAAATACCAGCTCCCGAGACAGGCCGCAGGAAGGTTACAGCGAGCTGCAGACAGACTGAGTCACACTCACTTTGGAACCAACAAATCATTTAGGCCCAAAGCGTGAGAAGTCAGTCTGTTTAGACTTTGTACAAACTTGCAAGGTTGGCAGGGAAAGGGGGCGCTGCCCTGCGAGGCTCCTCATTACCACAGGTGTGGTCTGTGGTGCATTGCTGTCTGTTTAAGTAACGTCTTCTCTCAAGAAAAGCCAAGAGTTTTACAGACCTTATCTCATTTCATCTTCCTGAAAGATAACTCCGTGGAGGGAAGGCAGAGAGAATGATTTAGAATTAGCTGGATAAAAAGTTGGATCCTTATGTCCTACTACTGAAATATGGAGGAAACTAAATGCTTATCATAGGATAAAAATAGATTTTGTTTTCTGAAGAAAAAGGTTGTGAAGCATGTTTGGAAATGGCATCTGCAAGGGTGGGACTCTTAAAAGTTTATGGAAACACTGATATCATTAATCATCCCTGAGGATAAAATATGCTGAAGGGGATCAAATACAAATATGAAGAATTCACTTACAGAACAGATAGCACTTCAAAATAGATCTGAAGGGAGCTTTCTCTTTCTCAGGAAGTTTTTAAAAGGGTGATTTGATTGATTTTCAACTTGTGAGGTGGTTACACAGGGCCTTATCTGGAGTTCAGATGATTTGTTTGATAACTTTCCAGACCCTTTCAGTCAGCACTTTATCGCCATGACATAGCTGGTCTTACCTTGAACCTGAAACATTCCGGCATCTTTCTTAGGAAAGTCGTCCATGCTGTTGTTGTCACCTTTATTCCACTGACTAGAAACTTTGTAGACATTCTCACACACTCCAAAGGCGCAGCACTGGTAAGCATAAGGCATTTCTATAACCCTTCATATGAAAAAAATCAAAACAAATACCACTTAAAACAGTCATTAAATGTAGTGCACATCTTCCTTCACTCAATGATTCTAGCCTGAGTAAATAACCCCAAATGTAAGTCACAGGTATAAAGGACTTAGAGCAGCAAAGGAATTATTAAAAATTATCACGATTAAGTGTAATTGCTGAAGCTGAGTGAGGCAACTTCCATCATTGAAATGATGGGAAATTTCTAAATTAAGAATAAAAAATGACTGCTAAGACAGTTGTAGCAAAATTAAAAAATGCTCATGGCATAATGTTATGTGACTAAAACATGATGTAAATTTGTATGAACACTTTGATTCTAACAATTAAAAATACATTGAAAATCCTGGAAAGAAAAAACCTAAAATTTTGTTTAGGGAAACATTTTTAAAAATTTTTGTTTTTTCTTCTACTTTCCAAACTTTCTTTTGGGCATATATTGTTTCATAGTTTGAAAAGTCTGTAAAAAAGACTGTGGTTTAAAGTATATACTATATATGTAATCTCTCAAGATACTGCTTTATCAATGATAAACCCAGTAGGTTTTAACAAGTACTATTTATTTGAATGAATATTAATTTAATACATTTTATTAGAACATACACACACTAGAAAAATTAAAAATTATAAACAGGAGTATGATGATATGGCAATGTTATTTAATTACATGCCCTAGTTTATATCCCATGGATCAGTGGATTTCAAACTCTTTCTGTGAACCCTGCAATTCTGGAGGCATCTTGAGAAGGAAAGGAAATACGATCAGGAAGACACATTCTCCCCTTCAGGACTTGCCCTAACAGTGCTCCAAGGGTAGGGGACTTGAGGGCATGAAATGCAATTCAAAAGGGTCTCCTGACCTCATAAATTTAGGAAACCACTATAATATGTCTATTATTTTGCATGACCACAAATGTATCTTATTAGTTTTAATGACAAACTCACTTGAGTTCTGGAAAATTTTCTGATGATATCAAGCTCTGCAAGGCATGATTTCCTGTTAATTTTAAGTGAGTTAAACCATGTAACCCAGTTACAGGAAAAGACGACAGGAGGTTGGACGATAGGTCCCTGCAAAACATCAAACAACAATTGCCTTTTAGTCTGTGTTAGCATAAAACATTTATGTTAAAAAAGCAAATTAAAAAAGCACATTAAAGTGCTCAATAAAAACTTCTAAGCAGGGTCCTTACTCTTAATGGTAAAAGCAACCATTTTGGTTTTTGCTTCTGATAACTTTTCTATTTATCATCAGGATTGCAGGGCAGGAGGGAGTTTTAATTGCAACCAAATTGTTCTGGGGTCAGCTTTAGTTTTTCAGGTGGGTGCAACTGAGAGGAAGGTGCTATGTTTAATCTGAAAAGTGGTACTGAGTGGATGAGGAGTGAGAGGTAAAAAGTGGAGGGTGACTTATTCCCTTCCTATTCCTCCTGACTTCGGTTGGACCGTTTCCTTTTTTGTTTATTAGATAAGAGACAGAGAGAGAAGGGAACAGAAGATGGGAAGTGGATGGGGAAATAAAGGAACAGGAAGTGATTCAATCATCAAACAATAAATGAAAGCCCCTCAGAACCGAACTGACATCTTATTCTACCTGATTACTTAGCAAAAGTAGAAAATTTCACCAGAATAACCATTTGTCACCCGGATTTTCCATTATCCACTTAAGGGCTCAGGTGTGGAGGACACGGAAGGCCGGACAATCTGTGCCTCTCCTGCTTCTTCAACAGAACCAACGTTTTGATGACCTAGATGCCCCTAGTTATTAAAAGATATGCCATAAACAGGTAATGATATACTCACAGTTTTACTAGAGACGGCAAAGTGGAAAAGGCATTAGGATGGATAATGACAATTTTGTTCCAAGCTAAATTCCTATTTTTAAAAAAAGGCAAATGAAAGATTATATTAAAAAAGAACACAAAGTTTTACCAAATGCATTCAGTCTTCTATCAAAATGCAATTTCCATTCAGATCAGAAACAACACATCACATCGCCATTCAGATGAAGACACTGATGTTCTACAATCACTAAAGAAAGAACTTTAAATCAGCTCTGTTTAAAGCAATCAAGGAAAAATCATTAATTTAGGAGGATAGTTTAGTTTTTATTCTTGCTAAAAGATTGACTTTAACATAGTTGTAAAATTCTATTAGGGTTTTCTAAAATGAGTGGGGGTGGGGGATAGGAAGAGACAAACTTCCAAAGCTCTTCTTCTGACAAGCATGTAAGTTTTAAATTACAGTGTCCTTGGCTATACAATGAAATGCAACAACAAAATCTGGGCATGCTCCTTGTGTAGGTCCAGGCTTGAGAGAAACACAAGAAAGCTTCAAGAAAATTTGCAAGGAAGGATACTGACAAGTATATTCTTAGCTGAGTTATGCTAATCATGGTAGAAACAGAATCTTTTGACAGAAAAGAAAAACTACAGTTTATAGGGAAATAAAATCCACTTGCCACACATGTGTAATGAAATGTAGATAATTAAGCAGATGAAACCTTTTTCAAAAACTTGTGCAAAAAATTTATAGGGTATAAGAACTTCTACATTAAAAAAGGAACTCTAAAAAAATGAAAAAGGAACTATGGATTTAAGATTTTTACTCTTAAAAAGGGTAATTAACAAACTATAGAAATGATCCCTGAAAGTATAGTCTTACCACACCTATGGTGCATTTTACAGGGGTACTTGTCAAATCTACTAAGTGTTGAGTATAAATGTCTTAACACAGTAATTAAGAAAGTGCGGTGAAGACTATGTTAACCAGTTTGTTGTAAGTATTTCAAGTTTATATAAAACCAGCACAGTGTACCTCATAAATGCACTAATGTACATAACTATGATTTAATTTAAAAAAGGGTAATTAAGATGTAGGGGCCAGGTGAGGTGGCTCACGCCTGTATTCCTAGCACTCTGGGAGGCTAGGGCAGGAGGATCCCCTGAGCTCAGGATTTGTAGACCAGCCCGAGCAAGAGTGAGACACCTTCCCACCTCTTAAACAAACAAACAAAAAACTAGCAGGGGGCGGCACCTGCCCAAGGAGTAAGGTGCCTTTGAGGAGATCACACCAATCCCCTCCCTCCACTTGACAGGCGTTTTAGTAAATATGTGAGAATGTATCAATTCAAAGGACTGTAATTTCTCTTCCAGCCACCCTGGAGGCGTCCCTTCTGCTCTCCTGCTCTGCTCTGTGCGCAGCTGGGTCCTTGGGCTGCATCCCCAGAGCGCCCTCTTGGCTTCAGTTGTGTTCCCAGTGGAAGCCCTTAGGAGCGAGAGGCAGGCGCCCGGGGTCTGCTCCTTCCCCATTTGGGAACGTATCTCTGGAGGCAGCAGCGCACCTTCTTAGCGGCCGCCACACCCTCTCGGGTGAGCGCTCCCTGCGTCCTGGGGACCCCTCCTCCCTGAGTCCTTCTCCGTCTTCGTGATGCTTTCTGCACACCCTCCTCTTGCTTGCTCCCTGCCAGGCACGGTCCCTTCAATTGAACCAATTCTGTTTCCTGCCAGGGCCCTCGCTAAACACCCTAAAAGGCTCTACAGGGTTCTAATAATAATAGTGGGGCATAGCTACTCCCAGCCGGGGTCAATTATGAGGTTTTACGTGTCGTTGTAGTCCTGGACACAACCATAAGAGGCAGGCATGGTCATCATCTTCATTTTATTGGTGACAGACACAGTATAATAAGTCGCTTGCTCGAAGTCACAGAGTAATCTCAGGTGCTGAGATTCAAAGCCAGGCACACTGGTTCAGAGTCCCTGATCTTTTGCTCAGAACATGTTTTATTTGTTTGTTTTTTAAAAAGAGTCTCATTCTGTCCCTGGATTGAGTGCTGTGGTGTCACAGCTCACAGCAACCTCAAACTCTTGGGCTTAAGCAATCCTCCTGCCTCAGCCTCCCAAGAAGCTGGCACTACAGAAGCCTGCCACAGCCTGGCTAGTTTTCTGTTTTTAGTAGAGATGAGGTCTCCTTCTTAGGTTGGTCTCCAGCTCCTGAGCTCAAGCTATCCAACAGCCTCAGCCTCTCAGAGTGCTAGGATTACAGGTGTGAGCCATCATGTCCAGCTCAGGGCATGTTTGAACTCTTAAGTAAATAATGAGAGAGCCACTGCACTAAAGCTTGGAAATAAAAAGGCGGAAACATTCCTGTTGTTTTCAGGCAGGGCATGGTCTACCTGATGACAGAGCTGGGTGTTAAGTCCTGTAGTAGACAGTGTGCACAGGGGGCTCCAAGAGAGGAGAACTTAGGCTTGTGAAATGGGCAGAGAGACTAGTCAGGCTGGGGAGGGATCCCATAGGCCTCAGGAGCAGGAGGGGCAGCGGGAGAGAGGACACTGGGCCAGGAGGTTGGGGTCAGATTGTGAAGAATGTACTGGGACACCTGGTCTTCATCTGGGAATCATAGGGGAATAAAAGGTTTCTGAAGCAGAGGAGTAACATAATTAGATTTCTATTTAAGAAAGATTATTTTGAAGAGATGAATGGGTAGAGACGGAAGACAGGTGGCAGGAGGACTGGCCGTGAGAATGGTGGAGACAACAAATGAGTCCTCATGGGGGCTCGAGGCAGAAAGCAGAGCGGGAGGCTGGAGACGGCGGAGCTCAGCGAGTAGCTGGAGGACAGGTCCCCGCAGAAAGAGGAATTCAGGGGGATTCGGGGGTCTATTCTTCAGAGTTGGTGTCATGTTCTTTTGTTATTTAGAGTTTAGCTCTAGAACTGACTTTTGGAACAGGGAGAAATCAAACCTGGTGAATAAGGCTCTTAGTGAAAAGAGGTACTTTGTTCACATTTATTAAAAAGTAAAAGCCCTCCACGAGGAGATTTAAACCCGAAGTACAGAAGGGCAACATGACCAAGTCAGAGCCAGACGGTTCTCCAGGTAAGTTTTTAGGAGAAAGTGGTTCTTAAAGATAATTTTAAAATCTTTTGAGGACTGGTATTATTAAAAAAAAAAAAAACTGTAGAGATCAGGAAAAGAGAAAGATTTTTATCAAACAAACTACAGTTTAAGCATTGTATTAGAGTCTTAGACATACATTTCATCAAAATCATGTTGATATCCACTTTCAGTATAGAAAAGCTTTAACTGTTATTTCATAAAATAATGTTACTAAATTTTCTTTTTTAAAATTTAACATATGGTGTTTCAATCATCAAATTGAATTAAACATGGGCATTTACACATCTTAGTTGCCTGAGCATCAGAAGCATTTCTGAGGACCTCTGTGCTCAAACCTCAGTGTACGTGTTAAAATGCAGATTCCCAGGCTCACTCCTGAGATTCTGGCTCCTGGGGCAGGCGAGGACCTGGAGTCTGTATTTTTCACAGTTGCTCCCATGTGATAATTAAGCACTTTGAGACACATGTTGAAAAACTCTGTCTAACTGGGTTAGAGAAGCAGGCAGAAAGAGTTGTGTGGTCATCCCATCTTTGTGCGCAGGCTGTGGGCAGCAGCATGCTGGGAGGCTCTGCCGCCCTCCTCTTCCTCCAGGGTTCATGTCTGCTGCCTAGTAAAGTGCATAACTGCAAATTTGCTGCTTTTAAATTTATTCCTGGGAATTGTCAGGAACAAACTACTTGCTTTATCACAGCACAGAGGTCCCACCATATAAATGTACAGTGAAAAGAAAATATTAAGAGAAGGCTCAAAAGAGAATGTGCTGGGCTAGGGGTGCGGGCAGGTGGTACTCACAGAGATCGGAGACTCAGCAACCGCTGGAAAGCCTCCACTTTAATTTCATAGATTTCGTTATGTCTTAGGTCACTGCAATGACAGAATTCCAAAGATTGATTTCAAAGTTACTGGTTTCAAAGATTACAGGCTTCAGAGAACTTTTACAGAGGGATTACCTGCTCTCAATCAAAGGAACACATGAAGTGTGACTATCAAGTGACCTCGTTTTGTTTGTTTAAAAAACAACATCAACATTTATACACTCAAATAAGCATTATCTCTATTTTGAAGCAACTGGTTCCTTGGGAAGATATCAAACCATGTTCTAAACACACTGTCTTCATTCAAAACACCTGACGCCTCTTCTGGTGAGGCCTCCTCTCCTGATGAGGACTCCTCTCC